AATATTCAAAGAGAATTTCTATATGCAGCACTGACCATAAAAAAATCCTTTTTTCCATGTTGCATATTTATAAGACAGGGTCTGCAGAATACTTGGGGTGGGGGGAATGTTATGCCAAATAATTCTAATCTTGATGACATTAAAAAAAATTCAGTTTGTCCATTTTTGTCAAAAGAATTGAGTTAATGATGCAATTTAAATATAAATTTTGTGGGATGTCTGAGTGGCTCAGTAGGTTGGGCATCTGCCTTTGGCTCGGGTCATGATCCCAGGGTCCTGAGATTGAGTCCTGCATTGGTCTCCTTGCTCAGTGGGGAGTGTGCGCTCCCACTGCCTTCCACTCCCCCTGCTTGTGCTCCCCCTCTAACAAATAAATAAATAAAATCTTAAAAATAAATAAATAGGGGGCGCCTGGGTGTCTCAGTGGGTTAAAGCCTCTGCCTTCGGCGCGGGTCATGGTCCTGGGGTGCTGAGATCGAGCCCCACATCAGGCTCTCTGCTCAGCAGGGAGTCCGCTTCCCTTCTCTCTCTATGCCTGCCTCTCTGCCTGCTTGTGATATCTGTTTGTCCAACAAATAAATAAAATCTTTAATAATAAATAAATACATATGTATATAAATTTTTCATAACAAAGAAATAATAAAACACTATTACAATTCACCACAAAAGGTTTCCCCTTTTTCTTAGATGAGGTAACATCATTGTACTAAACACACTGATAAGTATCTTAAATGATGTAACCTAAGCTCAGTCTCTGATACCAACAAATGTAGGAGAGAGTAGTTAGAGTTAAGAACTCCCCCTCCTCCTGACATATCTGAATTCCTTTAATAATCTATTATAAGCCCATGAACTTGTCTATACGCTTGTGAAAGGTATTTATAGTTAAGGTTGTCCTAACCCTTGGAGTACTATGTTCCAAAAAGGGTTTTTTTTTTTCCCTATCACATTGAGCAAATTTCTTAAATAAATATGCTTGTTTTTTTAACTTTAAAATAAAAATTATAATCATATGGCTGTTGTTGAAGACTGAATTAAAGAAGATAATCCTGCATCATGCTTATTAGCATATTATAAAAACTCAGTAAATATTAACTATAATTTTATTGCAAAAAATAGTACTTTGTTTTGCTTTGATCTTCAATTATTTCCTGCTTCGTTTGAAAGACATAATGTGTGTGAACTACCTAGCACTATGCCTAGCAATTAGTGTACTCAATTAAAATTGGTAATGGAGGTATTTGTGGTCTTGAATATACACACCATTACTTCTTAATCAATTATGAGGGTAGCAATTTTTACTTGAAAAAGCCTTTCATTCTGCTCTATCACAACAAATCTAGAGTCTAAAATACTGGAAATCTGGAGTCATTAGAACTAGGAATTACCTGGCACTTAATCTTTCATACCTTACTTCTTGATTACAGCATTTCTTAGCATCTGTATTCACATATGAAAAAAAAATGAATGTCAGAAATGTTTAGGGATTTGTCTACAGTACTATTTCCAGTATCTAACAAATAACCAAGAAACAAGAAACACTGCTTAATTATCTCACCTACAAATCCACTAGTATACAGCTTCTGATGATGAGAACTATACTCTTTCCTAAAAAACTTTTTCCTATACTCTTTCCTAAACTCTTTCCTTATCTAAAAACAACAAAAAAGTGCCAGCTTGCTTTTTTTACAGTAATAAAAACAACAAAAGAAAAGGAATATGAAATTATAAAGGGAAGGTTCCATTAGTTTAGTGTTACGGTAAGCATTAAAGAGTAAGATAAAGATGCAAAGAAAGGTTTAGCTTAGCAATTAGAGAAAATGATTTTAATAAGAAGGTCAATCAGACAAGGCCATCATTTCCTTAATGGAAAAGTGATATTACAGTCACCAGGCACCTTATGAATATGCAGATGTATTTATGGACAGAAGAGTAAAAGTCCTAATGCAGGAAATAGATCAGAGACTCCAAAAGACTGTTTGCAATCTTCTCACCTGGACACTATTAATGACGTGGTCAAACTAAATAAATTAAGAAAGTAAAAAGGGCTCTAATAAAATTCTCTTTCTACTAAAACTTTTCTAAATGATTTGTCTAGCAAAATAAAGCAAGCAAGATATCTTGCTGCCTTTGTAGTATCTAAGTAAAATTATATTCTTTACTCATATTAAATCAATTTATACATTTTTCATATGGATTACTACACATATCACAGACGTCCTGCAAACATGCACACTTGATCTTGGATCAAGAGGAGGTCGCAAACAGTATTCATTTATAAAGTAGGACAAACTTTCCTGTGCCTTAAATTTTAAAGTTTTTCTTTTTCAATTATATATTCATTATTTATATTACCTATATAATCCCATCTATTTCTTTATCAGTGAGCCATCTTCTATTTTTTAATCTACCACTGGCTTTAAGACAAATAATCCTAAAATTTGTATAGAACCACCAGAGACCCCAAATAGTCAAAGCAATCTCGAAAAAGAACAGCAAAGCAGGAGGCATCACAATTCCACCTTCAAACTATATTGTAAAACTGTAATGATCAAGACAGTATGGTACTGGCACAAAAATAGAGACAAAGATCAATGGACCAGGATTAAAAAAACAAAACAAAAAAACCAAAACTATATGGTCAACTAATCTTCAACAAAGCAGGAAAGAACATCCAATGGAAAAAAGACAGTCTCTTCAACAAATGGTGTTGGGAAAAATTGACAGCAAAATGCAAAAAATTAAACTGGACCACTTTCTTATCCAATATACAAAAATAAATGCAAAATGGATGAAAGACCTAAATGTGAGACAGGAAACCATCAAAATCCTAGAGGCAGTGTTCTTTGACCTCACCCACAGGCAGTGTTCTATGCAGTTCAATTGCACTATTAGGCATTTACCCAAAGAATACAAAAATACTAATTCAAGGGGATACATGCACCCCAATGTTTACAGCAGCATTATCAACAATAGCCAAATTATGGAAAAAGCCCATCTGTCCATCGGCTATTGAATGGATAAAGAAGTTGTGAGATTATATATATATATATAATCTCACAACTACTTTATATATTTTTATATATATAAACATAAATTTTATATAAATATATATAAATATAAATTTTATATATTAATTTTGCATAAATATATAATATATAAAATGTTTATACACACACACACACACACACACACACACACATATATATATATAATTTTTTTTTATACAAGTCCCTCCCGATTTTCTTCCTGTCTCCCCCATCCCAGCTCTTCCAAAACCCTCTGTAAACTAGAAACTGCCTGGCCTCCGGCAAGTGCCAAGCCAACCCAGCGCCAGCCTCTGTATGATGTCATGGGTTGCCAGGCAGACAACCACACCACTCCTGCAGGCACAGCTGGGTGGTGTAGCGGCTGGAGTCAAAGGGTGACGCACTGCTGGGAGCCTCCCGCCCTATCTGCCTGCCCAAGTGCTGTATCCAGAAGTACAAAGGAGGACAGAAATTTAGAAGGGGGGACAGAGACCTTGACGGAAAGGGAAGCAGGGAGATGGTGGGGAAGAGAGGAAGAGCACCTGTCTGTCTCAACAGAAGAAGAGGCGACTCCTGATCTTGGGGTTGTGAGCTGGAGCCCCACGTTGGGTGTAGAGATTGGTTAAAAATAAAATATCTTTATAAAAAAGAGAGACAGACAAAAATTGAATGGAACCAGCAATGCCTGCATCTGAAGCCCTTTACCGCGGCCTTCAAAGCTCAGCCTGATGTGGCTCTGAACGCCTCTTGCGATTTACCTTGCCTCCGCCTCACTGTCTCTGCACGTCAGCAGGCCTTGGCTGAGTAATATTCATATATATAGATAGATAGATAGATATGAATATATATATATATATACACACACACACATATATATATGCCAAGAAAAGAATGAATTCGGCATTTGCAACAACATGGGTGAAACTACAGAGTATTGTGCTAAATGAAATAAGTCAGTCAGAGAAAGACAACCAAATGATTTCACTCAACTGTGGAATTTAAGAAACAACACAAACGAGCAAATGGGGAAAAAGAGAGATGCAAACCAAGAAACTATCTTTTTTTCTTTATTATGTTACGTTAGTCATCATACGGTACATCATTAGTTTTTGATGTAGTGTTCCATGATTTATTGTTTGTGTATAACACCCAGTGCTCCATGTAATAATGCTCTCCTTAATACCCATCACCAGGATAACCCATCCCCCTACCGCCCTCTCCTCTGACAGGGCCACACGCACCCCACTGTTCATAGCAGATGAATGAATAAAGCAGGTGTGGTCCATATATACAATAGAATATTACTCAGCCATCAGAAAGGATGACTACCTACCATTTGCATTGACATGGATGGAAGTGGAGGGAATTATGCTAAATGAGATAAGTCAAGCAGAGAAAGACAATCATTATATGGTTTCCCTTATATGTGGAACATAAGGAATAGCATGAAGGACATTAGGAGAAGGAAAGGAAAAATGAGGTAGGGGGAAACCAGTGGGGGAGATGAACCATGAGAGACTATGGACTACAAGAAACAGAGTCTTAACTGAAGAGGACAAAAACTGAAGAGAAAAGATGGTTGGTAGTGGGGGGATGGGTGAAATAGGTAACAGGGATTAAGGAGTGCACTTCCTTAAAAAACAAAAAAAGGAGATCACTTGTTGTGATGAGCCCCAAGTGCTGAATCACTAAACTGTATGCCTGAAACTATATGTTAACATTTAGTTACATAACATAACACTATATGTTAACTAGAATTTAAATAAAAAATTTAAAAATTTTAATAAACAAAATAACTTCTGGCTTTGTTCTTTTGAGGTATACAAGAGTTGCACAATCTAATTGAATCATCTGCTGGGTGACATTAAGAAATGAAAGTGAGGTTGGGATGCACTAGTATTAATACCAGTTTCAGAAAATGGAATTAGAAGTGAGAACAATGCCAGGGTAAACTAGCCATGTTTTACTTACAGCTGACACGTGCTGCAAGAGACTCATGACATCTATCATGTCTGCAAGGATAAGGAGTCTGGTAACTGCAGCCAACAAGGCACGGGCAGCTTGAACCACAGCCTCCCTTTTGGGGAGATAACATGGGTCATCTGCAAATCTCTCAGCTGATACTTTCAGAGCTTCACCTGAAAAACATAACAAAAATAATATACTTTAAGTTTCACCTATACCTGTTTAAGCATTTATCATCTTAATTCCAACTACATTTTATGACTAAGCATAATATTAAAATAGTGTCAGTTGACACTAGAACACTGTTAATAAACAATGGAGTTTAAAATTGGCATTTGTTTTTAATTAATGCTCTGGAGTTTAAGAAGCATGATACCATCTTCCTGCAAGAGAACTATGTTCAACTGACTAGCAACATCTACTAGAATTGCTGTCAACTTCTGTATTTGCTGAATCTCATTTGCTGTAAAAGGTTTCATTTTTCATAAAGGTTCATAAGACTTCAATTGGAAACAATCTTGTTTATAAAAAGAAGGTAAATCTTCACTGAGTTATTTTCCAAGTCAGTGTTAGAAAAGAGCTAGACTGGGCACCTAAGTGGCTCAGTCAGTTAAGAGTCTGCCTTCACCTCAGGTCATGATCCTGGGGACCTGGAACTGAGTCCTGCATTGGGCTCTCTGTTCAGCGGAAAGTCTGCTTCTCCCTCTGTCCTTCACCCCACTCATGCTCACGCTCTCTCTCTCTCTCAAATAAATAAAATATTTTTAAAAAGAAAAAGAAAAAGAAAAGAGCTAGCCTTCAAAGCAGGAGTTCTCTGATAAAAGTTTAACATAGGCAGATTTTCCTAAATTGTCAATATAATAACCTGCATCCTAAACTTAGTCATGGAAATTATATATCATAGCACGTAACTGCTAGAATAATATACCTAAAATTTCTAAGATTTTTTCATTGAAAATACATCTTATGATAAAAGCAATGTGAACTCATTCATTTTAAAAAGTTCACAGTTCAAGGAGGAGTCCAAGATGGCAGAGGAGTAGGAAACCTTAATTTCATCTGGTCTCAGGAATTCAGCTAGATGGCTCTCAAACCATTCTGAACACCTGCGAACTCAACTGGAGGTTGAAGAAAAGAATGCCTGCAACTCTACAAATAGAAAAGCAATCACCTTCTGAAAGAATGGCAAGATGGAAAAAACTCACCTCAAAAAACAGAGAAAGAGGCAATACTGACTGCCAGGGACCTAATCAGTATGGACATAAGTAAGATGTCAGAATTAGAGTACAGAATAACAATTATAAAGATACTAGCCAGTTTCAAAAAAAAGCATAGAAGACACTACAAAATCCCTTTCTGGAGAAATAAAAGAACTAAAATCTAATCAAGTCAAAAAGGCTATTAATGAAATGCAATAAAAAATGGAGGCTCTAACTGCCTGGATAAATGGGGCAGAAGAGAGAATTAGTGGTATAGAAGACAAAATGATGGAAAACAAAGAAGCTGAGAAAAAGAAAGATAAACAACTCTTGGATCACGAGGGGAGAATTCAAGAGAAAACTGATAGCATAGAGCAAAACAGTATTACAATAATTGGGATCCCAAAAGAAGAAGAAAGAGGAAGAGGGCAGAAGGTATATTGGAGCAGATTATAACAGAGAACATCCTTAATCTGGAGAAGGAAACAGGCATTCAAGTCCAGGAGGCACAGAGAACCCCCCCCCCCAACATCAATAAAAATAGGTCAAGAATCCAACATATAATAGTGAAACCTGAAAATCCTGAAAGCAGCTTGGGACAAGAGGTTTGTAACCTACAAGACTAGAATCATTAGACTGGCAGTAGACTTATCTACAGACTGTGCAGGCCAGAAAAGACTGTCATAATCAGGGTTCTAAATGAGAAAAATATGCAGCCAAGAATACTTTATCCAGCTATGTTGTCATTCAAAATGGAAGAATAAATAAAAAGCTTCTAAGAAAAACAGAAACTAAAAGAATTTGTAATCACCAAACCAGCCCTGCAAGAAATATGAAAGGTGATCCTTTAAGGGAAGGGACAGCCCAAAAGTAATATAGACCAGAAAGGAATATAGAAAACATACAGAAACAGCCTTACAGGTAATACAAAAGCACAAAATTCATATCTTTCAATAATTACTCTGAATGTTAATGGGATAATGCCCCAATCAAAAGACACATGGTACCAGACTGTATGAAAAAACAAGACCCATTGATATGTTCTCTGGAAGAGACTCACTGTAGACCCAAAGACACCTCCAGATTGAAAGTGACAGGGTGGAAAACCATTTATCATGCTAATAGAAATCAAAAGAAAGCTGGGGTGACAATCTTTATATCAGACAAATTAAATTTTAAATCAAAGACTGTAATAAGAGATGAGAAAGGACACTATATCATAATAAAGAGGTCTATCCAACAAAAAGATCTAACAATTGTAAATATTTATGCCCCTAACATGGGTGCAGCCAATTATATAAACCAACTAATAACAAAATTAAATAAACACATCAATAACAATAAAATAATAGGGATTTTAAGACCCCACTCATGCAATGGATAGATCATTTAAGCAAAGGATCAACAAGGAAATAAAAGCTTTATATGACACCCTGGACCAGATGGACATCACAGATATATTCAGAACATTCTATCCCAAAACAAAAGAATACACATTCTTCTCTACTGTACATGGAACATTCCAGTATAGATCACATCCTGGATCACAAATCAGGTCTCAACTGGTACCAAAAGAATGGGATCACTCCCTGCATATTTTCAGACCACAATGTGCTGAAACTAGAACTCAACCACAAAAGGAAAGTTGGAAAGAAATCAAATACATGGAGGCTAAAGAGCATCCTACTAAAGAATGAATGGGTCAGGGTGCCTGGATGGCTCAGTGGGTTAAGTAAGCCTCTGCCTTCGGCTCAGATCATGATCTCAGGGTGGGATCAAGTCCCACATTGGGCTCTCTGCTTGGCAGGGAGCCTGCTTCCTCCTTTCTCTCTCTGCCTGCTTCTCTGCCTACTTGTGATTTCTGTCAAACAAATAAATAAAATCTTAAAAAAAAAAAAAATGAATGGGTCAACCAGGAAGTTAAAGAATTTTTTAGAATTCATGGAAACAATGAAAATGAAAATATAACTGTTCAAAAACTGTGGGACACAGCAAAGGCAGTCCTGAGAGGAAAGTATATAGCCATATAAGCCATTCTCAAGAAACAAAAAACATCTCGGGCACAAAACCTAACCCTACACCTAAAGGAGCTGGAGAAAGAACAGCAAAGAAAGCCTAAACCCAGGAGGAGAAGAGAAATCATAAAGATCAGAGCAGAAATCAATGAAATAGAAACCAAAAGAACAGGAGAACAAATCAACGGAACTAGGAGTTCGTTCTTTGAAATAATTAGTAAAATTGATAAACCCCTGGCCAGAATTATCAAAAAGAAAGAGAAAGGACCCAAATAAAATCATCAGTGATAGAGGAGAGATCACAACCAACACCAGAGAAATACAAACAGTTATAAGAACATATTATGAGCAATGATACACCAGCAAGTTAGGCAATCTGGAAGAAATGAATGCATTCTTAGAGATGTATAAACTACTAAAACTGAATGAGAAAGAAATAGAAAACCTGAACAGACCCATAACCAGTAAGGAAATTGAAACATTAATCAAAAATCTCTGAGCAAACAAGGGCCCAGGGCCAGACAGCTTCCCAGGGGAATTCTACCAAACATTTAAAGAAGAATTAATACTTATTCTGAAACTGTTTCAAAAAATAGAAATAGAAAGAAAACTTCCAAACTCATTCTTTGAGGCCAGCATTACCTTGATCCCAAAACAAACAAAGACCCCATGAAAAAAGAGAATTACAGACCAACAGCCTTGATGAACACAGATGCAAAAATTCTCACCAAAATACTAGCCAATAGGATCCAACAGTACATTAAAAGGATTATTCACCATGACCAAGTGGCATTTATTCTGGGTGGCAAGGTTGGTTCAACATCCATAAATCAATCAATGGTATAAATACATTAATAAAAGAAAGAACAAGAACCATATGATACTCTCAATAGATGCTGAAAAAGCATTTGACAAAGTACAGCATCCTTTCTTGATCAAAACTCTTCAAAGGGTAGGGATAGAGGGTACATTCCTCAATATCATCAAAGCCATCTAAGAAAAACCCACAGCAACTATCATTCTCAATGGGGAAAAACTGAGAGCCTTCCCCTAAGCTCAAGAACACGGCAGGGCTGTCCACTATCACCACTGCTATTCAACATAGTTCTAGAAGTCCTAGCCTCAGCAATGAGACATCAAACATAAATGAAATGCATCAAAAAGAAATGAGCCTGGGTGGCTCAGTCGGTTAAGTGGCTGCCTTCGGCTCAGATAATGATCCCAGGGTCTGGGATTGAGTTCCACATCAGGCTCCTTTCTCAGCAGGGAGCCTGCTTCTCTCTCTGCCTCTGCCTGCCAAAAGGGAGCACAAGCAGTGCTTGTGCTCCCTCTCTCTCTCTCTGAAAAATGAATAAATAAATCTTTAAAAAAAAAAAAAAAAGGAAGGAAAAAGCATCCAAATCATCAAAGAAGTCAAACTCTCACTCTTTGCAAGTGATATGATACTTTATGCGGAAAATCCAAAAGATTCCACTCAAAAATGCTAGAACTTGTACAGGAATTCATTGAAGTGTCAGGATATAAAATCAATGCACAGAAATCAGTTGCATTTCTATACATCAACAGCAAGAGAGAAGAAAGAAAAATTAAGGAGTCAATCCCATTTAAAATTGCACCCAAAACCATAAGATACCTAGAACTAAATCTAACCAAAGAGGCAAAGAATCTATATTCAGAAAACTGTAAAGTACTCACGAAAGAAATAGAGAAAGACACAAAGAAATGGGAAAATGTCCCATCTTCATGGATTGGGAGAACAAAAATTGTGAAAATGTCTATGCTACCTAAAGCAATCTACATGTTTATGCAATCCCTATCAAAATACCATCCATTTTTTTTTCAAAGAAATGGAACAAATAATCCTAAAATGTATATGGAACCAGAAAAAAACCCGAATAGCCAGAGGAATGTTGAAAAAGAAAACCGAAACTGGCGGCATCAAAATTCCAGACTTCAGGC